ATCAAATGCTCACTTATAGTGAGAAAATCATTCTCAAATTTGCTGGCTACTAGAGTATCCCATTGATGACTTTTCATCATATAACGTATCATTTCAATTTATTTCTTACATGTAACAACTCATGATGGCCAAGTTAGCATCTATCTTAAAAATTGTTACTTTAAATCCATATCATGTAATAAGAAGAAAATTGATTCAATAGTAATAACTCTTGTTTAATACATATACAAGGATTACTGTCTTCATTATTTATGATAATGATAATGTGCACTTTTCATGCATCATATGTATCATACCTGTACTGTGTCTGTATGATGAAAGGCCCTAGAAAATGACATTCCCCCATGATTTTCATACACCACAGTCACCATCTTTCCATTGTCTGGGAATGTCAAGGCTATTCCATCTGCCATCTTGAAGTTGAAAAGCAATTTAAAATTATGATTAATAGGCCTTTCAGTTCCTAAAATGACCTCCAAATACTTTTGAAAACAAGAGCCCATAAGCCATAAAATTCATCCAAGAGACGGTTGCCTTGTTGATCTTTAGAAGATTTTGCATTTTTCCCCTTTCCACTCCCATAAAAATTTTAATCCTATATTTGGCCCAAATCTAGCCCCAAGAGAATGTGATTTACTAAGTTTGATTCAACATGTTGGATGCTTTAATTCCAAAATGACTAACATGGTCTTAATGTTCAGGAGGAGATTTTTTTTTACAGATTTCTTTTTTTCTTCTATATCTTCACCTGTTAACCTTTGATCTTCTATTCTGGCATCTCCTTACTTACCCTTGAAGGCCTAATATGAATTTGGTTGAAATTAGCCTATTGGTTTTGGAGATCGAATATAGGTTTAGAGACATACCAGGTACAAAACTTACCCTTCTAGACAGAATTAACAATTCCAAGCATTAACATAATACTTTATTTAAGTCCAATTAATATTTTTCCAATGGCCCTTGATCATTCAAGGGCAAATAAAGTAGTTTACATTGTACTATGTGTGCAAGTACATGTACTGGGAAATAGGGTTTACTAAGAATTACTGAGAAGTAAGTTCTGAGCAGTGAACTTCTTCAAGTGAACACTTCAAGACAATATACCGTATAGCGGGGTGCTAATTTTGGCTTATTTTAGTGGTTTGGTAGTAGCCCGCTAAAATTTTAATCACTAAAATATTCAGTATTCTTCTTAGTGTTCTTTTGCAATGTGTTCAAACCCTGTGTCCGCTAAAATTAATTACACCAAAATGATTGGCATACATTTGAACAAGCAAAACGCCAAATTTTACACCCGCCAAGAAATCCCGCTATACGATAACTGTATCATAATGTCAAACCTCCTTTCTCTTTATCTTCTTTTCCAAGACCTACAATAAAGAAACATTTGCTGATGTATCCATACTTGTATAAAAAAGTGTTCTTGGGAAAAACTGCTAAAATCCAATTTGAAAAATAAATAGCACTTTTTAAAGATATTTAATATGGTATACACTTACATCACAAAATGCTGCTACTTCACTGTCCATTAGCTGAAAATAATCAAAGAATCTGATATACATGTATACATGTACATATATGTTGAGAAACTGCCACTTTTATGATTTCTCATTTGATTGATTACTTTTTGATATTAAGAACAAGATAGCAGTAAACATATATAATACATGTATTCAATATTGACAACTTACTGGCAAATCCTCTAATACCGGTACATCCTCCTTCGAAAGCTGAAAGAAAGAACAGTATATACTTTTATGCCCTGTTCACACCGAGAATTTACTAGTAATCTGAATGTAAGTTACAGCAAATTAAATTTGAATCCCATTTACACTGAGATTACAAATTAATTTAATTTGAATTAAATTACTGTGCATCAAATTACTCCGCATTAGCTCTTTAGATAATTAGAATTAAAATTCTGACACGTGCGTAATGGCAATATCAAGTCGCATGCCACATGTCAGTGGTCAGATATGGGTACTTATGCTATTTTTTTTTTAGTGAAAAACAAAGTGAAATTATGCTTATCACTGAAATGATTACAGACACCATGACATTATGTCTAATGGATCTGCTCTGCACAATGTGAAGTGATTTGCAAATGACATCATGATAGCATTATACAACATGTGTTAATCTGGGGGGGGGGGGGGGGGTCGGGTCCCTAAAAGGACCTTGGACGCCTCACTAGCAAAGCGCAGACCCCTGTTAAGTAAAGTGGGTATGAAAAGTCATACATATAAAGATTAAGAAATGAATGAGAACACGCATTATTTCACTTCTCATTAATTTACTGCGAATTAAAACTCTCTGTGTGAACAGGTCATTACATTAACTATCTCATTCCAAATCATTGTTAAAGAAAAACTAGACTAGTGAAGTTTTAAGAAAAAAAGTAGATTGCTTGATGTTAAATTGTTGCTTATTTCAATATCATAATCATTTCTATACACATATGTATAAATGTATTGTTTAAAGATAACAAATATGTGTACTTAGTATACATTATCTTTTACATACAGCATCAGACTTAGGATCTGTATTAATGTCTGAAGAAAGAGAAGGTACCTCAATGTCTGGTAGCTCATCAGAAATCTAAAATATATATAAATATATATGTATATACAATGAAAAAAGTCAAGATTCTCAAGACCTGAAAATTCATTTTATCTGTAAGTGCTTCCTGCCTTTTAACCTTTAATGGCTCTTCAGATCGACAGTTACAAAATGAATCTCAAATTGCTTAGTAACATTCCACAGGCATTGGAAATGGGGGGGGGGGGGCTTAGCCCCCACCACTTTTTTCAAAAGACGGACATAATATGGGCATTGAAAATTGGGGCTTACCTTTTTCTGTTGGTTTAGCTCCCCATTTCAGTTAGCCCCCCCCCCCCCCTTTCAATTTGCTTCTGATGCCTATAGATGTGTTCATAAGCACAACATCAATAATGAAGAAAAAAAATACTTCTACCAACAAGACTGATAACTGTTGTGTCTAACAATGCTGCCCATCATTAATAAGGAATACACATAACACATGAAGTTTATGACAAACAGACCCAAAATTATGCACAGACTGAGTAGCCAATTTTAGTCCTTTATTGAATTACAATTTAAAGGCAATGGATTGGTAAAATGTTTGCACAATTAAACTGTTATTTTTCCTGGACTCATAAATAGCCATAAGCTAGTTTTCGTCTTTCAAATATCAGCAATAGAATATATATTATTAAACCAGAATGCACACCTGGAACTCATGATCGATGTTGACTAATTCTAAAGTTTTCTTTGTTTTTACATTTACGTGCATTTGTGTTTGTTTGTAATAAATCATACATGCAATTGATGTTACTTTCCCCCTGACATGCTATAGCTGCATAAACTTGACAATTTTATGGAGACTGAGCATCAATAGCAATATAATTTAGATACTAGTTTATATATATGTCTATACAAGTAAGATCTGTACAGCAAAATCTTCAGACTGTGAAGAAGTCTGCGGTTTATAATAGTGCTCAAGAAAAAGATTAAAATGAGAGAAAAAGGGAGGAAGTTTTTTTCTTCTTCAATGAGTCATATTTAGCTTTAAGTTTATGACCATGAACAATATCCCCCATTGAAAAGTATTTAAAATACAATTGAAAATATTCACATGGATTCATTAGGAAAGTAGCAATCTACTTGTACTAAAACATACTCACATACCTCATTTTCAACAATGATTGGAGACAACTTTCTTTTTCTTTGTGGTTGTTCCTCTGCATTACTGCCTAGTGGTGACCCTTTCCCATCTAATTCCTTTGATGTTGATGGCTCCAAATCCTGCACATAACCATTATACAGCTTGCTAGAATAATACTAACATAATACAAGTCATATGTGATTACATGTAATTATAAACAAGGGCAGACAACTTACATAACATTCTGTGGATGCTTTCATGTCTCGTTTTCTCTTTTCCTTTTGGGTCTGCAAATGAAATATCTTGTGACTAAGGTGACCAAAAATCATAATGAATCCTGTTACCTTGTGTAATAATAAAATTATGACTAAGTTAATAGTGAAATGTTTGTTATTTGATAGATTATCCAAATTTACTGAAAGTTTATTTAAATTAATAACTATAATTACTGAAAAAAAAAGAAAAAAGAAAATGGAGGAACTGTTGGCAACAGGCTAGCAAAATGACACCTAGTTGTTTAATAGAGTTTTCAATAGCAAAAAATTGATTTTGCCATTATACCCATATGGTAGTGGGGGGGGGGGGGGGGGGGGTTAAAAGGCTATTGCGAGTCTCCTTAAATTTTATTCAGTGGTATTGTTTTGGATAGGGTATATGGGTATGCCCAACTATTACAAATGTACCAATGTACATTCCAATCACTATTAGGAAAGTTTAAGCTGTAGAATGAAAAAAAACCCAAACAACTAGAAAGTCATGAAAAATAAACACTTACTGATCTTGATAATTCCATTTTAGGGAGTTTACAATCATCATCAGAACCCTACATTTAAAAAAAATGCACAATTTTTAAGTAAGTTCATCACAAAAGTTTCTAAAAATGTTGACTGCTTTATATGGAATTTGTACCCAGTATGATCTTTCTGATCAATTTGTCAGTTTACTGCATGTGGCCATCCCTAATAAAAATCTTCAAATATTACATGTAAGTTCAAATTTAAGAGAAACAATCTCTAGCTTTCATATAATCACTTATATCAAACAGAGCACACTATTAATTGGTACAGTGGTAAATTATATTTTGATGCCTAAAAATACATCCAAATGCATGCAGTTTCTTTCAAATTCTGGTCAATTTTAGAAATTTTGTTGACTTTCCCCAGTGAAGTTTCAGACTAATTTCTTCAATTGTGAAGCCACAAGAAACTTTTAAAATTTTTGTTTAAAAAACTTTCATAAACAACAATGGCAATTTACTTGTACTAAACATACCTCATTTTCAATAATGATTGGAGACAATTTTATTTTTCTATTTGGTTGTTCCTCTACATTACTGCCTAGTGGTGACCCTTTCCCATCTAATTCCTTTGATGTTGATGGCTCCAAATCCTGCACATAACCATTATACAGCTTGCTTGAAAAATAATTAATACATTAAGTCATGCAAAATTCATTTTAAACAGGGTCAGATCACTTACATAACATTCTGTGGATGCTTTCATTCCATGTTTTCTCTCTTTCTTTGGGGTCTGCAAAGGAAAAATATACATGTATCTGTGTTCTAAATTCCTTGAACTACATGTATTTTAAAATTACTTACTGCATAATCTTTAATTTTTAATTTCAAAATTGCACTTAGGTTCTTAAGGCATATCAGTGATGAAAGCAAGTGGAGCAGGAGTCACAATGCTCATAAAAGTCACATCCTCTCTGCTTATAAGCTAGATTTAAATTTAAAAAAAAAAGCTTTTTATTCCCTGAACAATTTAACCAACCCAACTTAGCACAAGCGGATCATGATTAAACTGAACTTGAATCCACACGGGGGAGGGGGGGGGGGGGGGGGGTTACATCATGCTGCCATAACAAAATGATTGAAACAGCCTTGTTGTTCATCAGAAATTTTTAGCATTTTACTTCCATATGCATGCATTTTGTGAAAATTGATACCCTATTTAAGCCAAATCCTATCCCTATGATCAATGTTTTTTGTTTTTGTTTTTTAATTGGAAACTTAAATCAATGGAAGAGAAGGTTGCATTGCAATGTGAATTAGTGTGGCACTGCAACTATTGAAAACATATTTTTTTTTCATAATTTCTTTGCTTTCACATGTACCGGTAAATGGGTTTTTAACCCCCAATGTGACCCCATCCTACCTCCAGGTACCATTCAGTTCTTTAAATCTGCACTACAAAAGTCTCCATACATGCATATTAATGTCACATCATATTCCTGCTGCACTTGAGGAGGAGATTTCCAAACTTTTTTTTTCTATTTATTCAAATTCATGTAAAATTTGGATCCCATATTTTAATTCACCACAACCAATCCTGGGGAAAAGGGGGTGGGGATTTGAATAAATATTTTGATGACATCCATCATATTTCTGTTTATTTTATACTCTCCCCTTCCAAGAGGGTGTGGTTCTTTAGATAAATAAATTTTCTCTTCATCAAAGTATGCTTTGTGCCAAGTTTGGTTGATATTGATCCAATGCTTTTGGAGAAGTCAAAATATTAAATGTTTACTATGACAAAAACAATGAAGATTGACAATGGACATATTCCTATCATAAAAAGCTCACTTTAACCTTAAATTTGGCCCACGTGTTAAAAAAATTGATTATTATGATGCAACTACCTCAAGATCCAGCTCTTCAAAGTCTTCAAATTCATCAGATATCTTAATTAAAAAAAAAAAAATTGATTTTTAAAAAGCTCATAATTGTACAAAGATGTAAAAAAATATTTGCTATCAGTTCACCTAATCCATTATCTAGACTACCTCCAGTTATTAAATGAGGTGAACTGATCTAAATGCACATGTAGGTCTAAGTAGGATTGTTGTTTGATTTCATAATTAAGGATAAATAATACTAACAAAATTTAAATATCTTTGTTTAAATATGAGCCTCTCTAACTAAAGAAGTGATATTTGTTTCGTTGAACAACTTTATTTTTGACCAAGCTACAAAATTTGGTGAAAAGTGGGAAAATGTACCTTTATAGCTAAAAAATTATTTTTGAAAATTTAAGAAATATATGAATTTTTGTTACTGAAAAGTTTCTAGGAACATTTTCTGGAGTCTATTTTTACATTTTACATAATTAAAATTTTCTAATTAGACTTTGATTGAAAGAAATAATGAAAAAATAGCAATGTAACTCTTCTGTATGGGAGATAAGAAAATTTGATGTGGTATTGTACCTTTAATTCATTCATATAGACAGACTCCTTACTGTTTACCTTATTCTTTGCATTTAAAGATTCGACAAGTCTATTAATTTAATCATGAACATACATCAAAAAATATCATATATACATGTATAAGCTTTAAGATACAAAGTATGTGACTGTTTAAAAATATCATTTTTTTTCTTTACAGAATATATTTTGTGACAATTTTACATTATTTTTGTGTCAGATCACAGAAATTGCACTTGCATGAATTTATGATCTAACACAACCAACAGTGAGAAATTAAAAAAAAAAAATAATAAAGAGACAGTTACTATATGCTACATGGAAAGTAAGAAATGCTGTAAAAATTATCTGAGTTTATCTATGGTTATTTATTTAAATCTTAACAAGACTATTTCTTTCTTAATCAATTAAAAAAAATGAAAAATTTACTTCATGCAAGCATATTCAATTCCCTTTATGCCCTAAAGAAGGAAAAAGTTATCTTCCCTCACACAATCTAAAACATCATTGAAAACACAGAATTTGTTGTCCCTTACATAAACTCTTTATTTTTAAGCTAAATTAAAATCATGATAAATCATTTTGTGAAAATAAATAACACTACCACAAAGTAATGCTAACTTTATGACATTCCTTGAAGTCATATCTGCATGTCATTCTGCCCACCATATTATAATTCTTTTGAAAATTACTTTAACTTAAAGATGCTTTTTTAATACAATAGGAAAAGATTAAAGTTATTATTCTCATCCTATAAGCACTTTACTCTAACATTACTATTTTCAACATTCTTCATTTCTTTGGAACTGTCAATTTACTTTATAAAAGATAAAAGGAAGTACATGTACATGGCACAATGAACTTTGAAAGCATTATATTCTTATTTATACATGTAGGTACAAATATATTAATTTTACAAGGGGAACATGGACTTAGATATGAGCAGACTGACAGAAAAACAAAATCATGAAAAGAAAAGATCAATTAATCAAATCATTACATGCTAGAATTCAAAGATTAAACAAAAAATAAACATAATTGTAAATCACTAAAACCTCTGATAATTTCTGCCCTTTGTATTTTTCTGTAATTTCTCTCCTATCTAAAACATCAAAAAGTGAAGAAAAATACAAAAGAAAACTTGTCAATCATTTACAATAACTTCCTTATCTGTGCAGCAGACATCATCTACATGTATATCAAATCTGTTGGAACTTCCACTTTCCAATTCACTTCAAGCTAACCATGGTATTTAAGATATCAATGTTTGAAATAGCGAAGTTCAATAGTATTAATTGCATAACAAAATGTTTATCTTAAATAATGTTGTCCTTCATGCAATAATTTGGCTGCCATTATTTGAATTTCAAACAGGCAGACACAAAAGTACTTCATGATAATTCTTTTTTTAAAAAAACATGCAGTACTGAAATTGGGCCATCCTTAAAAAAATGTTTGTTTGGAATTGCTGCCTATGGGTTTCCAACCAAGGAGGGAGGGAGTGAGCGCAATGGAAATATTGAGTACTCAGAATGTACATAAAAATAATAAATAAGATCTTTGCATTTCAATCAATTGTCTATTAACTATGTACATGTATCTGCAAGCAACTTTGTTTATATTATAAACAACTTACACTGTAACAAAATAATGTGATCGGTATATCTCTCTGTGCATATTAGTCTACCATGTTGACGACACAATAACAAGTTACTCTTTCCCATAAAAATTAGGCCCCGCCTCCTTATATATAACTTTCCTTTTGCTGCATTATGAATATTCATGATTTTATTTGGAACATATCGGTACTTTTCACATTGTTTACAGAAATTGATAGGTGTTCCAAATAGGTGTGTATCAGTTCATCAAACTGACGCACCTTAAGTCCTTTTAGCAGGGAATCTGTCTTTTTAGGGTGATTTTCAAGAAATCAGCAAAAAATATCGATTTACTCTTAATTAGTGAAAAATCAGTACGGGTATAATAATGATTTCTATAAATGTGCTATTAGATGTATGTCCTTCTACAATAAAGATAATGAATTGAAATTGATTTTTTTCTACACTGTAGATGTAAATATTAGTGATAATTGCTGCCCATAACCCAGTATATAATTAATTATACAGTTAAAAGAATGTTCAGGCAAACACAAAACAATACCTTTTGACATGATTATAAAAACTTGTTGACAGGATGAGAAAATTCTAGAATGAAAATTTTAAAATTGATCATTTTCTTGAGGTAAAACAAAATTGACATGAGCCATTTTGAGCCAGTCAGTCGGGAGAGGGCAAATTTTTAAAGATGGCTTGAGGTAAATTCTCAAACAGCTCTTAAAGTATTACCTTTCCCTCTGGCCTTTGCATATATCTTTAGTGGTACATATTTCTTATTTGTTTTTAGTTTCTCCAAGTGACCAAGTGTGAATTGTTGGGGGTTCTCTATTGCTTCAATACCACATTTTCCCATTATGTAGGGAAGGAAAATAATCTTCCCTCTGAACATGTCACTAATTTTGGACATCCAATTTTCTGCATTATCGCTGTAGCTGGTTAGGATTTTCAGACAGCCACTAAGTCCATCATCCGTTGGGAAGGCTCTCTTCAAGGCCCTATTTTTACCATCCATTATATGAACAATCAGTTCCTGCAATGTTAAGCAAACACATGTATATACATGTACCATACATGCATGTTAGTGAATTTCTGAATATAAGAAAAAATTAAAATATTTTTAATGTCTTTCAGCTTATACAATTCTTCATTAACAACTCTTGTTGACATGTATATGTATGCAAAAACATGTACATTGTATGTGAGGAATGACCATTTACTTTGTGTCAATTTATGTTTCACACTGTTATTATGACAACAAGTAACTGTAACATAAACTCAATCCATAGTCTCTCACTTTTGAAATGCTCCTATCTGGTTTTGGTTTTGGTTTATGCTTCAGGCTTTGAGGGCCATACTTCTTTTTTAGGAACTCCAGACTTTCTTTGCAACCTTAAAAGATTTACTTTAAAATGACTTCACACTAACAATAGAAACATAACACACATTATCAAAAACTTGTATTGAGACACAAATTCATACTTATCATTTTACTTTATCCTAGCAAAATCATTGTCTCAAAGATGTACTATTTGGGGAAATCCTTGGCCCTATGATCATGTTTGTTTTAAGCTCAAGACAAAAATTTATCTACTAAATTACAGGGTGTTAACAATTTCCATGACCGCTTGCTCAAGAGGACAAGTTTGAATCATAACCACTCATCACCATGATGACTTTCCTTTCCCGACTACCAAAGCTCACTTGTCGACAAGCAAGCACAGATATTTCAGATTTCTTTTAAATTGATGATATTCATTAATCAGATTCTAAGTCTCCTACCAAATCTGGAAGCACTTTGCTTCATTTTCACAAATGTCATATAAAGAGAAGCACATAAAAAATAAATTTCATAATGACTTTTGTAAGTAAGTAAGTAAATCATTTATTATAGTGACATGCGTGTGTACATATGATAGATATAAATATTTTGAGGTCTGCCTTGGAAAATTTGTTACTGTATTAAGGTGTTTCCTACAGGAAATCATCAATGCTTTTTATAAGTTGTAGAATATACTATACAATCATTAGTAAATTTACCTTTGGATAACTTTTGTTCAACACCTTTTATGTCTGCCATATCTGGGAGCACCTCACAACCTGAAAATTTAGAGAAATACATTATTCTATTGTATTTTCATGCCAAATGAATGTAGTATACATGTAATTATAGCAAAATTTCCATGTCATCAGTGTCAGAAAGCACCTCACTGTGACTACCTGTGAAGTTTCATAAATAAAGTTAAACCTTGTTATCTTGAACTTGATGGGACTGAACTTTGAGATATCCAAGGATTTGAGATATCAGGGATAACATACTTAAAGAATAAGGGGTTGCAACTTCCAAATCACTTTGACATATCCATGGCATCTGAAATATCACCACATGATCAGTGTTCAAGATATCAAAGTTCAACTGAATATTCATTAAATACAGGTTAACTTCCGTATCTCGACATCGCGGATACATCGACAACCTGGGATATGTTGACGTCCGTCCATGCTCCCGGCAGTATTTTCTATATACTTCACTTGCAGACACTCTGATATGTCTACCTCGGTAATGTCGACAACCCGGTTTATCTCGACGTATATTCACAGTCCCAAGAGCAACATTTACCTGGTATATGTCGACATCGGCAATTTTCTGCTCTATTAAACTTAACTGTTTGTCAAATGGTCACTCGTCAGGCACGGATGACTCTGTGTATCTCGACATCATAAGAAATTCACACCTTTCACACCCATGTTTTGAGTACACACTGCTGAATTCATTCTATAGTCAGACTGTGTTTGTAGAAGAATCCCAAGCCCTTCGGTCTTCTTCGAGACTTTAATTGCTCAATTAGATGTTCAGCTTGGGCAATATCATCGATAAATCCATACGATTTTCGTTAAATGTACCGACGTTTATTAATATCAACATAAAGCACAACTTTTATAATTTGAAAAAGCTTACTGCATAACAATAAATAATAAACGCATTAAATTTAATTCTAACTAAGGAATTAAATGATGTTTTTAAAAGATATTTTGTTTTAAAAATTCATTCAACAGGAACTTGAATAATCAAATTAATGACATGATTAACTGAATCAGCCTTAATTCATGCACAAGTAACATCACATTTTGTTTTTATGAGCTTTCTTTTTGAAATGAGAAAAAAAAAATAATGCATCTAATTTTTTTTCTGTTTCTCAGATGTCGACTTTATACGGTTCGAAGTTTATAGAGCCCATTTCATATCCTGTTCTGACCAAAAAAACATGTACACGGAATGGTGGAATTTTGGAAAACTTTGTAAATTTAGAAAGATTTCGATATAGAGAAAGAACTTATTTTATAAACATTATTTTTATTATAATTCCTTAGATTTGGTAATAAAAATAGAGGGATTCCTGAAATAAGATGAACTACCGTATATTGAAGTCATGTACGTAATAAACCTGTCTGTTTTGCTATGCAGTGAAATCTTGGGTGTCTTGGGCATGAAGTCTCAACTCTGATACCTCAACATTTTCCGATAGTTCTGCTGATGTCGAGATAGCAAAGTTTACCTGTAATTGATTAATTATAATTTAAGGCAAAAGGAATTTGCTTCAAATCTAGAACTTCCGCAACCAATAAATTTACCAATGGATGGTTCTTTTTCAACATCTCCAGTGTCCTTGCTACCTATAAAATAGATAAATGCATAAATAACTAGTAATATTCTAATAGTAATGAAAATGGTTACAAATGTTCCTAAAAACAGATACACATACGTAGTAATGGGGGGAGGGGGGAGAGTTGCCAACTCCCCCAATTCTGTTGTGTTAAACCAGATTTTTTTTACCCATAACCCAATTATTTTTTATGGCATGGCGAGTCATGCTTTTCACCTGATTTTTGCTGAAGAACCCTAAATTTCCAGATCTGGTTTGTAAAATAGTTCATTCTAGTTTGATTTCAGCAAACAATTCACTGCAGATTCAGGACTGCATGTCTTCATTTTCGGTTCTTATTTAGTATTTACCATGTTTACTGATAAAAAAAAATCCGAAACTATAATACATCAGGATGTTAAACTTCTTTTGAACATATTTCTGTTCTTCTCTGCTTCAACTTTTTGTTTTATATTCAGTTCATGACATCTCTCTCTCTCTCTCTCTCTCTCTCTCTATATATATATATATATTACAATGTAATTATAACTTCACATACCTATTCTTATCCCACAATTCCCACAAAATTTGGGATTGTTGTGGTCAAACTTGTGACCACACTCTACACAAAACATATCTGTAAAAAAAAAAATACATATTTTATGATGCGATTTCTAATACTCCTGGCGTGTGCATATATATAGAAGACAATTTATGTTTTATTCTAGACTCAATCCCTGACGAGAAAATTCGAAAGTTAGGTTTGAAAGTTCTATATCTTAACATTAAGGTTTGAAAGTTCTGTACTTTAACATTTAAACTTAAAACATTACTGGCGTGGTGTTTACTTCTTACCGTGTCTGTCCTACCTTGTAACTTTTGTTGTCGAAGACGTCTTCAGACTGTCACTTCGACCATGCTTCGACTGAACGGTGAACACACATGTAAAGATCTCTCTCACATAGGCGCTTTGTATCCGTCACGCTAGAAATAATATTTCTCCACGCTCAAGATAATATTTCCTTCACGCTTCAAATAATGTGTGCAAATCTCTCTCACATAAACGCTTGTATCCGTCACGCTAGAAATAATATTTCTCCACGCTCAAGATAATATAATTCACGCTTCAAATAATGTGTACAGTCTGCCACAATAATAATGTTTCAACAAGGGACAGAGTTTTCGTTCCTGTCACTAGAAAAGAAGTTATCTTTCCCGATGAAAAATAAAGTTGTTTTCTACGAACAAGGCGCACATTATTATTGTTGAAAAATTAATGTGGTGTTTTTTTTTTTTTTTTTTTTTTGCATACATATTTATTTCTATGAAAGTGGGTTTTTTTTTAAATTTTCAATCAGTAGTTGTTACTAGTATGCATTCTTATAAATCGTTGAAGTAAACGTAATATGATATAATCTTGGTGAAAATAAAAACAATGTTACACATCGACCGATTATAATTATTGCTGTTGGCAAGATTATAGTTGTAAAACATCAGAGGATAAAATTATTATTTATTGTTGGGCTAAATAAAGATAATTTGTACACATAGTATGGTAGTATAGTATGGAAACGTGATAATTGTAATATTTGCGGGGAAATATAATAATGTTGTTTAAAAAAAAAAAAAAAAAAAAAAAAAAAAAAAAAAAAGCAAAGATTTTTTATTATTTTTTTTTTTTATTTATTTTTTTATTATTATTATTATTTTTTTTTATTAATTTGTGGTACAATTATAAAAATATAGGAATAATAATTATGTGGAGGTACCCAAATTATTATTGTTGCAGAAAAATAATAATGTTGTAAAAAAAAGCAAGATTTTTATTTTTGTATGAGATCATTATTTTTGGTATAGTTATATAGGAAAAAATAATAATAATGTGGGGGTACCCTACGGCTTTCCATACTACCTAATGTATATATTTTTTTGTTTACCTGACAAAAGAATACAATGGAATACGTACAAGGTAAGGAAAACGTACGAGAAATTCCGAATAAATCGTTGCGCTTCATTCGCGTTCTGCGTTCAATCACCGTTCACTAAATTGCGTTTAGTGTTCGCTCGCCGTTTACTCAGAGTTCGATCACCATTCAAGTGGGAAAGTAGAACGATTCAGGGATTGTAACGCGTTTTTTGATTATTTTGTTCGCTTCTCTACGAGAATTGCATATTTATTTTGAAAGGAAATTAGCACTGAAACCAAAAAAAAAAAAAAAACAAAACAAAAAAAAAAAAAAAAAAAAAAAAAAAAAAAAAAAAAAAAAAAAAACAAAACTAGAGGTACTGTGAGCACTGAGCTCACTAAATGATACCCCCCGCCTCCCATATGATTATAATGGCAAAGTCCATTATAACAAAATATAAAATCTCAACAATTTTGCAAAAATCTAACAAAGAGTGAAATTATTTGCCTATGAAATAGCATGTACACACACTGAAGAGGACAAAAAGGATCATTTTCTCATAATGATTATAATTATCGATAAATCAGTTATAACCCCTCCAATTTATTTTAAAATTTCGCCAAACGACGTATCGACGGGAAATTATGGAAAGCCGTAGGGTACCCCCACATTATTATTATTTTTTCCTATATAATCATACCAAAAATAATTATCTCATACAAAAACAAAAAAACTTGCTTTTTTACAACATTATTATTTTTCTGCAACAATAATAATTTGGGTACCTCCACATAATTATTATTCCTATATATTTATAATTGTACCACAAATTAATAATTTTTTTTTTTTTTTTTTTTTTTTTTTTTTTTTTTTTTTTTACAACATATTATATTTCCCCGCAAAAATTACAATTATCACGTTTCCATACTATGGAAAGCCGTAGGGTACCCCCACATTATTATTATTTTTTCCTATATAATTATACCAAAAATAATTATCTCATCCCAAAATAAAAAATCTTGCTTTTTTTTTTTTTTTTTTTTTTTTTTTTTTTTTTTAACATTATTATTTTCCTACAACAATTATAATCTTGTCCGTCCATGTGTACTCATTATTTTTATTTTGCCCCTACATTATAATAATTATTCTCACTTTACAATTATAATCTTTTCAGTTAGTACGGAGACATTATTTTTATACACCTCCAAATTATAATCTTGTCAGTCGATTCGTACACATAATTTTTATTTTGCACCAAGATTATAATTATTCTTGCCTCAACAATTTATAAGACTTCACCTCCTGTAACAATAATGTACTGACTGAAAATAAATAAAAATGTACACGCTTAAAAATTATAATGTACCAAGTCGACGTTATAATCTTTGCAACAATAATAATGATGTGCGCCCTTGTTCGCAATTATTTTTATTTTTCAACAGGAAAGATAACTTCTTTTCTAGTGACAGGAACGAAAACTCTGTCCTCCTGTTGAAACAATAATTATGTTGAGACGCGATTATAATTGTGACTGCACACATTATTTGAAGCGTGAAGGAAATATTATCTTGAGCGTGGAGAAATATTATTTGAAGCGTGGAGAAATATTATTTGAAGCGTGACGGAAAACAAGCGTCGATGCGAGGGAGATCGTCACGTGAAAAGGCCATGTGCGCTGTTCGATCATGTAAACAAAGTGGAAGACAGAAAGTCCAACGTTAGCTAGGCTATAAGAGGTAAGTAAAGACTAATCATTAATGTACATGTAAATGACTGGCATCATTCAGATAATGTCTCTTGAATCAGCTGTCAGTTTATTGTAATTAAGCTAGAGCTACCGAACAAACAGGTAGTTCGAATTGCCTCAGACAGCTGTCAGAAATAGATCATGTGCATAAATGTGAGATTAAGCACATACTAGTACTTTATTAAAACCACCTGCCTGATTAAGAGCATATAGGGACGATCATTTGATTGGGGGGGGGGGACTGATAGATTAAGGAAATAAATATTTTAACCTCTACCCCCACCCCTTTATGAAAAGGTGGTGACCTTAACATGGTGAAAAATGTTTTTCCTAACCAAAATTATTTCTCATCTACCATGTCTACTACTTTGTACATGCCATAATCATACTCGTACATGTACCCGTTGATATTTTTTAGATTTTGCATACAGTTTGTCTTTCTGCCACAGATTCAAAGAGAATTCAGATAGAAAATGGAACTATTGAACAATAAATTCTGCCTGGAAGCAAGAACTGGGGAATACAGTGCAAGGGATACCCGCTGCTCTATTTCAAAAGTTATTGGTAAGGTGATTAAGTCCTTGATAAATATCATTAAAAAATATAGCCTTTGTTAACAATAGACAACTTAAACATTTTCCAAAAAGTATTTCTCTTTGTGGGGAGAATCTGGGTTCAGCTGGAATGAGAGACTGTTCTCCCTTTAAGCCAATTAAAAAATTATAATGTGTTTGTTTTTGGTAACATGCCAAAAATATTAGGGAAGGTAGGTAGGCGATATCTTTTTTTTATTACTTTACTTTTTATTAGCTCACCTGAGCCAAAGGCTGAAGTCAGCTTTTCTAATCACATTTTGTCTAGTGTCCATCTGTCTGTAAACTTTTCACATTTTTTACTTCTTCTCAAGAACCACTTGACCTACATGTATTTCAACCAAACTTAACAACAAAGTATCCATGGGTAAAGGGGGTTCAAGTTTGTTCAAATAAAAGCCACACTTCCTTCCAACTGGAGATAATTACAAATTAATTTAGTGAAAAATTAATATCATCTTTAAAAAATCTGCTTCTCAAAAATCTGTGGGCCAGGAAAGATGAAACTTTTGTGGAAAAATCCTCAGGTAGTGTAGATTCAAGTTTATTTAAATCAGGGGTAGGCTGGGGCTATAATGGATTATCAAAGTTTTACATAGGAATATATAGGGAAAATTTAAAAAAATCTTCTCAAGAACAGCAAAGCCATGATTAGTCATATTTATATGGAAGTTTCTTCAGATAGTGTAGATTCAAGTTTGTTTAAATCAAGATCCCTCGGGGAAGGTTGGGGCCACAATGAAAGTTAAAACTTATAGGAAAATAATCTTTAAAAAATCTTTGAAAGCCACAATTAGTCAAATAAATATGGAAGTTTCCTCAGTAAGTGTAAATTCCAGTTTCTTCAAATCATGCCCCACCACTTTAGGGGTAGGTTGGGACCACCAATATGTATTTAAACTTTTCAATACTGAACTGATTTCTGCTTTTTTCTCCTAGCCACAGTGCTCGGGTGAGATATATGGCCCTTAGGGCTCTTATTTTGTAAGCATCAGTCAAATATTCAGTATGCCGCTGTTTTTTTTTTTGTTTTTTTGTTTTTTTTGGGTCATAGTCATATATAAATAGTTAAATACACATATGAATAAAATGTACACAACAAAACAATTGTACTCATTAAAACACTTGGATAGACATGTTTTAAAAGTTTCATGGGGGACATCCTTGCAATGCCAGGGGTCCTGGGTCCTGGCTAATTTCATGTGATATTTTAAGTCTTGCTTCTCTCATTGAGAAGCACCAATCAAATTGAAGCTTTCAGAAATATTTAGATATGATAATGTAAACAGGAAGAATCACCTGTTACAAGTTGTTTATCATAGAATATGGCTTAATGTGATTGGTTGAGAGATGAGAAAAACAATGGATTTGAAAATTCCCCTAAAGATAATGCTACAGTCAGCCCATGATATTAATGAATGAAATTGACCAGGGGTCCATGCAATGTATTGAAATATCATAAATCTTTTTGCGCTACAACAGTGCAATATTTAATTTACAAAAAAAGACTAAATAAATACAGGGTGTTTCAGAAAACATGCAACCATTTGCTTTCCTCACTTTATTGATATGCAAACAGAAATATATAAAAGTTTTATTTAAAATTATAGGAAATAGGCTCAAGATTTTATTGATAACAAAAATTTGGGAAATAATTATCATTTGAATTAATTATGACG